CTGACTTATCTTATCACGGAGTAATGGTATATAGATATCGACTGCAGTTGAGGACGATGAGATAAAGAGATAAAGAAGTGTCTTGAGAGTGTGTTTCGTTCCCAAAGCCAGCATAGTGTTACATGCTCAAGGTCACATCTGCAATCTGAGAAGTAATAATTATCTTTATCAGCTGAAAACTGTAGTCAATATTTGTTTGATTGTACCCTTGGGTTACCATATTATTTGAAAAATGGGAATCTCTTATTTTTTTCCTCAGGCTTCAGTCTGTGCTATGTAACATCAGTGGCCAGTTGTCTGGGTTCTATTGCCACTGACATCAATTACAAAAGACAGTTAATCACTAATTTCTATTCAAGGGCAATTGTGAAAAGTATTCTTTAAGTTGAAGGGTGTAATAATGGAACATATTTAGTCTATGCATGCCACCTCAATCTGAACTCTAGGTCCAATAATTTGATTTGATTTAAATACATGAAAAATAAGATGAACATTTGTAATTGTTTGTCAGTCTGGTTCATTTGGCAGCAATCTCACTCCGATTCAGAAGGTTGTGTGTTCAAACGTCTGTCAGGACTTTGCAGTGATATAATCTTAAATTGGCACTCCAGTGCGTTGCTGGGGGAATGATGGGATGTTAAACTGAGTCCCGTCTCCCTGTTCAGGTGGGCATTAAAAATCCCATGGCACTATTCAGAAAAAGAGCAGGGAGTTTCTCCCATTGTTCTGGTCAACAATCCCCCAGATAAAATTGATCATTCTCTTCATTGTTGTTTGGCTAACATTGCTGTGTGCAAATTGGCAGCCACCTTCATCCACAAAATGCACACAGTCACTAGACTTTGCAGCATATCCTGTAAAGAATAGAAAGTGCTATATCAAATGTAAATATTATTTTATTTGATTGGATTTTATTCACAAAAGTAGTGTAAATGTGGGATTAGATACTAGTGGTTAACTCCTTTCCAAAGATGGTTTGTCCAGAAGCTGACAGGCTCTCTATAGACCCACAATCTCTTGGCAATCTCAGTTCCTAATGCATGGAATGCAATGTAACTCAAATCAAAGCTTGGCCAGTATTTTGTCCGGTGGGAATGCAAGGGAACAATGACTAGCAGTGAAAATAGAGATGGCAATCTGTAGAAAACTCAGTTAGCTTCCATCCAAAGCATTGAACCGAATGCCAGGGGTGAGGGTTTTGATTACAGTTTTCAACAATATGATAATTATTACTTTTATAAATAAAAATAAACCTTACATTTGATATAGTGCCTTATCATGTCTTCGAGAAGTCTCAAAGTGCTTCACAGAATATATTGTAAAGTGAATTGATTATATATTTTGTGGATGAAACGCAGCAGCCAATTGCGCACAGTTTGCTGAAAGGTATCACTAGTGATAATTATCATATCACAGTTTCAATTTGGCTCAGTTGGTAGCACTCTTGACTTTTGCTAGAACTAGACCACAACAAGTGAAGGTCTTGGGAAATCCCGAGGCAGGACAGAAAAATACAACCTCTGGTCACAGTGGCAGCTGGTGACCCAAGAACCACCCTCCCCACAGTGGGACAGCTTGGAAACCCTTAAGGGAGCAGGAAGCCAAAGGAGGAGTCACACAAAGGTTGTCATAGATGAGTGCAGCTGAGTAATAGAGTGCTCTCTAGGTAGGCAGAAGTTGTGCTCCTACAATTGTTGCTCTCTACACTTGGTTGTTTTGTTTATTGTGGATGAAGCATGGAGTTTTGATTTAAAAGATATCTCTATTAATTTCTGCTACTCAAGCATCCGCTCCGATTTACATACAACATCTCAAAAACAACGATGGCATAGATGACCAATTTCAATGGATAAATAATTAAGGAAAAATAACATTAAAGCATATGGGGAAAGATCAAGGATTAGAACAGATAGCTCAAACGCTCTAAGACGTTAACCTGCGTGGAGGGTGCAAGTTATTGTTGTAGTAAGGAAACTACAATCAGTTCAGTTTCTAATGGTCCAAATGACCTCCACAGATACTTTCTATTGATTATCGATTGAAGCAGAGAGAAAGAAGAGAGGAAGATGAGAAAGGCTGTGCTGGAGGAAAACTATAGGTGTAATTCTCCAAAGATCAGTAAATTACCGGACTTTGAAGGTGCAATATTACAATGGACTTACACTGAGCAAACTAATCCCCATTGAGAAGATGTGACATAAACGCTTAATTCCAATGTTTATTAAACTTTGTCAAAATGTACCTGTTGCATTCAATGGCATGGTAATGTGTGTTTTGGGAAGTTGTTTCATATCACATCTGTGCCATGACCTGCTCTGCCTTCCCCGACCTCCGCAGCAACGCCCGGTTCCGCCAGGCCTCCAAAACCTTCATTCATGCATTTATTACATCCGGGCTCGTCTTCGCTAACTCCCTGCTTGTCAGCCAGCCCAACTCTTCCCTCCACAAGCTGCAGATCATCCAGAACTCTGCAGCTTGTGTCCCCTCCCACATCAGCCTCCGTGATCCTATCACCCCCACCCTCGCCCAGCTCCACTGGCTCCCCATCTTCCAGAGGATAGAGTTCAAAATCCTTGTCTTTCCCACCCCAGAATCCCCTTTGACCCACCTGTTAAGAAAAATAAATCTCTTTCTCTCTTCTCCCCCTTTCTCCATTGTAAAAAAAGTGTCTTCCAGACAGAAATCTAAATCACAAATGATGACATTTTTGATGACTCAAGAGCTGCATATGTTGTAACTTAATTATCACGTTAACACTGGCAGGCGTAGACCAAATTGCAGTTCATTTAAAATTGCATTTAAAATTATGTCAAGTACGAGACGATGAATTTGAATTAATTTGCATAATATCAAATTCTTCAGCAGCTTAATTGCTGCTTAAATCATATATACTGTATTTTGATGTAACATTTATCCCTCTTAAAGGTCAGATTACATGTGATCTTATACTTGTATATGCATTGTAACATTTGCTATAAAGTGGAATATTCTCATTAACCATTATCTGCCACATTCCTATCTTCTAAAACACTTCAGAGGTGTAGATAGATGTTCAACCTCTCTGATCTAAAATTGGCATAGAGCTTTGGGTTGAAGCAAACATGTCAACAGATGGGAGAAGGAATGACACCCCATAACCAAGTAACAGATGGTTTATCTTAATGAAAGGAGAAAAATTCTGAAGGCTTATGCCAGGTATAAAATACAAAGTGAACCAAAGAGAAGGAATACTATCTAAAGCAATTATTTACAGTATAATGTTCACACAAGCTAATTGTGTGCCTCTGCTCTCCCCCTTGGATTTAAAGAGCATTACTGTTAGAACAAAGTACTGTACTTACAGTTACGCTTGCCACTTATCATAGCACACTTCAAACTGAACATATGTTAATTTACATCCATCATATTTAATAACTTTCAGGTAACCAAAGCTTCATTAACCAGAGCTATCACAATCCAAAACAAACCATCACAAGTTACCTAACAGGAACAAAAAGTAAATTTAGTATTCAGATGGCACCACAATGTGAGAATGCAAAACTCTTTATGTTAGCCTAGAACAGTACCTCAGTATAATATTTCCAGCACATAATTCTTTACAGATGCACGTACTATTTTAGTATTTGATTCCTTCAATATTGTAAGGACTCGTAAACATTAGAGAAAAATATGAAAAAAAAGTTTGTACATTGAATGAATATCTGAATGTATTGTTTGTGGGATTTTTTCTGGCAAAATAATTTTGGGTTATTACACTATAATATTCATTTGTTTGCCTACGAATAGACAGTCACTACACTTGAAATCCTGTGAAATGCTTTGAGATGTTTCGATGATGTAATCAGGCGCTATGTAAAATGCAGGGATTCTTGTCATTATTATAATTCACACCTGTTCAAAACCAAAGTTTGAGAATCCAAAGACTATACACTTCCATTTATTTGCCAACATGGTGAATGCAACCAACAGTAATGGTCAGCAAACACCAATATAGGACACAGCAATATGTATTCATGTATCGTAATTCATTCATGGCAATATGTGTAATATGTATTCTATCAGATATCAAGTTCTGAGAGCTCATGAGATGAGCGCTAATTTTCTTTAGTTGAACGTCAACAAGGCCAAGACCCTCCTGATTGGCTCCCATCAGCGCCTCCACACCTCAGGCGCTGATAGATCACCATCCATGGATGTAAACACCACTTTACTAAGCCAGTCCAGAAGTTTGGTATCTTGTTTGACCCTCAACTTCCTTTCTACCCCACATCTGTGTCATGACCCACTCTGCCTTCTCCACCTCCGCAACATCGCCCGGCTCCACCACTGTCTCACACCGCAGGCTGCCGAAACCCTCATACATACTTTCATTACTTCGAGACTTGACTATGCAGACTCCCTGCTTGTCAGCCTCCCGAACTCCTCCCTCCACAGGCTGCAGATCATCCAGAACTCTGAAGCCCGTGTCCTCTCCTGCACCAGGCTCCATGATCCTATCACCCCCATCCTTGCCCGACTCCACTGGCTTCCCATCACAGAAGATACAGTTCAAGATCCTGGTCCTCACCTTCAAAGACCTCCATGGTCTTGCTCCCCGCTACTTCTGTGACCTCCTAACTCCCTACCATCCTGCCCGCTCCCTCCGTTCAGTGGGCTCCAGTCTGCATCACATCCCCCGCTTCGCTCACCCCACCAATGGTGGACAGGCCTTCTGCCACTCTGCCCCCACCCTTTGGAATTCTATCCCTCAGTCTCTCCGCCTCGCCCCTCCCTTGCCTTCTTCAAAACTCATCACAAGACCCTCCTCTTCGACTGTGCTTTCGAAAACCCCTCCCCCCACTGCTCTCCACCCTCCCCGATCCCCACCCCCAGCTCAGGTCCGAAACTGTGACTGTCCATCACCTTGGGACGTCCTCCCGACGTGAAAGGTGCTATACAAATGTAATTCTGTTGTTGTATTCTATATGGATATTTGTAATCGCATGTTCCCTTTCTTTCAGATCATCTGGCCAATCCTCCTGAGAACCGTTCAATGCTCAGGACACCTCCACCTCCAATGACGCATCCCCACACATTAAACCATCCCCATGCCTCCTCAGTAAACTCACTGAACAGGGGAACTTCACTACACGCAGTAACCCCAGCCCAAGCCCAGCAGATCTCCCACCTCCTCCAGAGCCACCTCCAAGCACACAGGAGTCCGCTCACATGCAGGACAATTGGCTGCTCAACAGTAACATTCCCCTGGAGACCAGGTAGGCATCTCGTCTTTATAATCTAGTAAAATAGCCAACCACTGCTGTGGCTATTCTATAATGACATTGTTTTAGATTCCAGTCTAGTTTTTAGTCTTTATTTCTTAAAATCTGTGCAGTGTTTGCAAAAATAGAATATAAATATTGTAAATGTGATAATTTCCATAAACACATTTTGGAAACTGTTTCATTTTTTGAATACCTGATTTTGTCATCAGGTGATTTTTGCATATTTATATTTATTTTAAAAATACTCGGCAAATTTTCTCATAAAGATTAAAGATTAGGAGAAATTAAATCAATTATACATTGAATTCTTTCAGATTCAAAATAAAATCAGGAAATTAACTGAACAGATTACAATAAGGAGCAAGAATCTAGTGATTATTGATATTAATAATAATCCTTGCATTTGATACAGTGCCTTATCACGCCTTTTCACGCCTTCAAGATGTCTCAAAGCGCTTCACAGAATATATTGTAAAGTGAATTAGCTCTGTTGATCATTGCTACTGGTGTCTGGTGGGACAAGCACTTTGTGCACGCATTGGAATGCATTTGTAGAGCTCTGCCTTCTGACACACTTTGCAGGCAGCATGACAGGTCCACATTTGAGATCGTCAGGAGCTGTTGGCAAAAGTACTAATGGGACTCAGAACTTACTATAGTTAATTCACATTGCTGAAAAATGGGCATTGATTTAGGCTCCAGTTGTGCTCTGAGATAAATGGTTTCTCTCTCAGTCTCTCAAAAATGTAAGATTTTTCTGTCGATGTGAACTAAAGAAATAATCTAAATTCAAAGCATTCTTTATTAAGAGGAAATTATGTGTTACTCTTTTTTTCAAAATTTGTTTAAAACAGTATAATAATTGTCCAAATTGTGACTGTTGTCATATGAGGAATTTGAATTTACTGGAAATTAAGCTCTTGGTTTTCCAAGTGACATTCTGACACACCATTAGTCAGAGTGACAGTAAGAGAAGCAGTCTTATTTCAGTCTCGTTCCAACTTCAAATTCTTTTGTATATGTTTATAATTATAGTATATTGCAAGGAATTTTAATATTACTTATAATAAATGGTATCTAACTAAGAGTTGTGGCACATTTATTTTAAATTGTATCAAAAAGTGAACAGAATGCAGTTGTTAACTTTTACTGGATTTAAGGTTTCATTCATTTTAAGGCAAATTTATGCTAACCATTTTACATGACTGCTTAAAAGTATTAAACTGCAAATCAATTAATGGCATGATTTAAAAAGACATCAGTTGATTTCTTGGCCGCATCTGTGTTTGCCATTAAACTGATGTCTGGCTTTTAATTTTTGGCTATTTTGCTAGCTTTGATTTTTCTTCCCCCCAATCACTATTTTCTACATATGCAGCTCATTGCCTTCATTCATCTTTCCATCTGTGTATAGAAATGTAGCAAAGCAGACATTCCTAGAGACTTTGCAGGACAACCTAATTGAGATGGACGTTTTTTCCTCTGCTCGGCATGAAGGTGGTTACAATGATGGGTATGTGATGCTTCTCACTGGGAATAATGACCTTTGTGCTCATTTCTTTCTTGCCTTAGAGCCGAAAACTCAATTTACAAAATCTCATTTTGAAACTTTACAGACTGCCAATGTTTCGCAGATGTATCAAATGGGTATTATCTGAGATTGATTTTTTTATTGAAAGCAACGACTTTTGTGTGGAACGTTGATGTTTCTCAAACACTAATAAACTTATCTGATACAAAAGTAAAATCTATTTTTGTATATAACTTTAGCTAATTGTGTTCGTAGAACCTATCTAGTTTGCTAATGGACTCTTGGTTGTTTCTGACCTCTTTTATAAATGCCAGAAGCAACCAAGATTGTAAGGATGGGCATGGCAAAGATTGATGGCTACAGGGGAAATCTATCTAGTTTCAAACTGAGGACATGCTCCACTAGGATTTTGAAGACACTTGAAGGCCTGAAATTCTATCGAGTCTTAGCCTGTAAGGGTAATTTTGTCTTAAAGCATTAAGAATGTTCAAAATTGGGGAGAATTCAGTCATAATTCTTTTTAGAAAACCAGCTACCAAATTCAGACTCAATTTAAGAATTCTCCACATTTATGCTCAGGCTTAAATTGTAAGCCAAAATGATCTTACAGGGCAAGTCTAGGTGGAATTTCAAGCCTTTTATCAAATGTGTGCTGATTTCTAATGGAATTCATAAAGAGGAAATGAAAAGTGCTGGAAGGATTTCTTATTACGAATTCCCATTAAAAATCACTAGAATTTGACCCTAAATTTCTTTGTAATTGTGGGTTGTGAATTGAGACCCGCGATGCTTAAATAACACATTGGTGAAAAATGTGCCCATTTAACGTTTTAATTATTCAAGTGCCTGTGGGTGTGCTAAGCCCAGTGGTTGGATTTGAATCTACCCATGTGATCTATTGGACTGCTGGTTAATGGAGCACGGCCACATAACTCAGGGAAAAAAATCTAAGTTCAGCCAATTCTCTGCTAACCAACAATCCAATGCCTTGATCCAGGAACCAGCAGTCTCAGATACAGATGGCTCTGTGTTCAACCATTGTCAGGGAGGTGAGGGGCACAATCATGGACCAGTTAAACAATTAAGAGATTGACAGCTGTATTTTTAAAACCAGTATTAATTAGCACATTAGAGGTTGCATTTTTCACTCCATTTTTTCCAGTCGTCCCTGGATATAACAGTTATCTATTCAAGTTGATTTCAAAATCTGACTTTGCTGGTATCTTCTACATCTCCTAAATAATAAAATAATAATAATAATCCTTGCATTTGATATAGCGCTTTTCACGTCAGGAGGACGTCCCAAAGCGCTTCACAGAACACACTGTAAAGTGAATTGACTGTATATTTGTGGGCGAACGCAGCAGCCAATTGTGCACAGCAATGTCCCACAAACAGTCATAGATTGAAAATGACCAATTTATTATTGTTTTTTGTTTTGGAGGGATTATTATTAGGCGTGTGGAGTAAGGAAACTTGCCCAAGGTTTCGCCCTGCCTGGAATTGAACTCAGATCTCTCGATTGCAAGGTTGATAAGAACTGAGTGAGAAGAATTCCTGCTCCCAGTCTGCCCTTCCCAAGTGCTACCAATGAACCAGGCTGACTGTGAATCTATAACACGAACTCCACATGCAATATATTGCACTAGTAATGTAAATTTCTCCTATTCTTGGTTTTGTTGTTGCACGATGTGCAATGGGGTTCAATTGGAACTATAATTGTATTCAAGTTGCCCCTATTGTACCTCCATATGTTACATTACCTCAGGCGATCATACTGTATTATGTTAATTATGAAAGGAAAAGCTGCTTCAATTAGAAGTGAGCCTGCAATATCCTGAATTGGCAGTTCTGACAAATATGTCTCATACACATTCCAGGAAACATTTAACAGATCTGGCAGCAAGTTAAACTTATAAACGTGGAGTTCATTTTCTGAATGTGGGACTTTGAACAGATTGCTGAGGAAGGTCTACAGAGCAGGGAGCACTGGCCTGTATTGGAGAGTCGAGCACTGGTCAGTGTCAGTGCTCAGCCCACCTTACAGGTCAGTCCACAGTGATCGGAATCAAAGGCCAGAGAGCTACGAATTGAGTTCCTAAAAAAAAATGAAACTCAAGACATTCAAATAAGTTGAAACACCTGTTTTCGAAAACCATTATGCTCCCTTGTATTTGCATTGTTTCTGTCAACAACAACAAATGACATTTGTTTCACGACATTGGGACATCCCAAGGCGCTGGACAATCAGGGATCCGCACCCGAGCTGGTGGTTGGGATCAGGAGGGCAGGGAGGGTAGGGATAGGAGGGTGACCGAAGGCATAGTCAAAGAGGAGGGTCGAGAGATAGGTCTTGAAGGAGGCAATTGCCATTCACTGGGAGAGTGAAGCACCTGTTTGTGATTACTGAAGTTCTGCTCATAGCACTTTTGCTAGACCACAGTGAGATTCCAGGTAACTCAGAGTGGCAAGGTTAATCCCTTACGTTTGAAATAGCGCCTTTCATTCAGGGACGGCATCTCAAAGATCTTCTCAGGATTTATGCCTTCTCGCCTGCAACCCTGACCTCCTCAACCTTCACAGCCTATCCCTCAGATTCATCAAACCTGTGCATAACCTGACACCAGGTTTGATTCCCAGCTGTCCTCTGTATCCTACATCGGGTCCCTGATGAGGACTGTTTTCCTCCACCTACATCTCATTGCCTGTCTCTAACCGTACCTCACACTCAACGCAGCCTAACCATCATTCACGCTTTGGTCACCTCCCACCTCTCCATTATTCCATTGCCCTCCTCACAGGTCTTCCCAGCTCCACTAGCCACAAAATACAATTAATCCAGAACGCTGCTGTCCATATGCTTAACCGCACTAAACTCTGTACCCTCATTACCCCACCCTTACTAGACTCCACCGGCTCCCTTTCACAGAACACATTGACTTCAAAATCCTCAAACTCATTTACAAATTGTTTTATGAGCTGACTTCTCTAACCCAATCTAATACCCACTGCCTCTGCTTGGCTGACTCCAGCCTCCTGTATATCCCTGTTCACCTCCCCTCCATCATTGGTGTCTGTGATTTCAGCCACTGTGCTCCAAAACTGTGGATCTATCTCCCTAAATCCTTCCGTCTTGCCTGCTATTTCCTCTTTGACCATACTTATGGTCACCTCTCCCTCCTCCAGCTCGGTATCAAACTCCGCCACCGTTAAAGCACTCCGAGACGCTCCCTCACATGAAGGCTGCCATATAAATTCAAGTTGTTGTTATTACTGTAAAGTGTAGTGACTGCATTATGTAGGCGAATGCAGCATGCAATTTACTTTCAAGCATTCCTGTTGCTCATTTGCAATTTTGCTGAAAATGAAATCACACATGTATTTTAAAAAAAACGTATATTTATTTATTTGCACATTTAGTATAACTGAAATGTACCCAGTTTATGAATTGCATTGGCAT